AGACGTCGTTAAATCGTTTAAAGTTTGACAAAATTCAATAGATTTCTGTAAGTTCTTCAAAATTTAACCCATCTTTAGGAATGATTTAAATTTATTAGGTATAGAATAATCGAAAAATATAATGATGTATAGAAATGTGTATCGTTTGTAAATGCATTTTAAAATGTCATAGTATTAAAAGAATGGACATATTTTAAAATTATTTTCCCAAACAATACGAATTGTGGTTMGATTTTAATATAATTAGACTTTCTCGCATCAAGTCATTGAGTTATATTATTTATTTGTATTTATATGTTTTGTGTAGTTCTTCTCGACCAGTGTAATGTCGTTTCAACAGTTTATCATCGGTGGAGTGTTCGGATTTTCAGCCGTCATACTGCCGCAGCTTGAGCTGTCCGACGCTCTCGTCAAAATTGATGCCGATCAAGCGTCTTGGATAGGTATGTATAAAGCGTGGAGTTCCCACTCACCAAAAAATGTAATTTTTCGACAATGGCATCTCCCAAAAAAAAATTCGTGTGATTTTGACGCTCAAAGTATAAACAAAATGTAATTTTACATCAGACRTTTTCCTGTGGAGTAAAATATATAAAATTGGAAATTTTTTTTTTAACATACATTCATCTCGGAATCTTATTATATTATTTAGAGCGACTAAGCCCACATAATTTATATAATATATTGTGAGAATATAATAATATGTATTATGAAATATACACGGTATTTTGCAGCAAGTCTTCCTCTCCTGTTGAGTCCCATCGGTTCGCTGGTGTTTGGYTATTTGTCCGATAGATTCGGCMGGAAGTTATCGCTACAGCTTACGTACGTACCTCTGCTTATCAGCTGGTCGCTGCTCAGCAACGCCGAATGTTTGAAAGATATTTACATCGGCAGACTGTTGACCGGACTGGCAACAGGTGAGTGTATTATTGTTATTAAGTAATGTAATACAGACAATAATGTTAATAAYAATTTTAATGAAATKACTTGACTTGACACTTGGCGGTGAGCCTATAAAGAGACTATATGTTTGAGTAATTAGTTCATATAAGCACAMTCATTAGGTTTTGGTTGCAAATCGATCAGCTCTTTAATTTTAAATTTATTGGAATTTATTACTAATTTAGTAAACGAAAATAATGATATCATAATGACCTAATGACGTATACATTATAACTCTCATAATACTATAATATATAGGTACCACTCAAAAAAACAAAGAGCTAAACGATTTTTAAAGAGAATCCTATATGTAAATACACTAATTACTGGACTTCATATAATGAAGCACTAGTGCGAGTAGAGCGTATCTGAAAGTTTTTATGACTTCTCATTTAGGTTTTTATTTTAAATGACTATCAGTCGCTCTTTATATAGGCGAACACATGGAAGCAGCATAATATGCTATCTTTTTTTGAGCAGCCACGATCACCAAATACTGAATAGTAAATTATGGACCGCAACAAATTTTATATATCGAATCTCTTCATCATCGAAATGTTGTATTTAGATTTGGTTTATTCCCCAATTATTAGCATATATCGCCCCTAACCCAAAAAAAGAGAAATCTCAATTTCATAAAAATCTCAATTTCGCATATTTTTTATACSTCACAATAGAACGAAATCATCGTGAATTTGCGTAACCTATATTTCGAAGACGTACCGCCCACAATAACACTATTTGTCAAAAATATTATTGGAAAAATGGGCTTGATTAATCTCATGCTACCCTTGAGACCAGAGTTAACTTATACACAAACGTCAAAACGGCCCTACGCTGAAGTGTCCTATAGTCGACCCGTAATAACCCCTCTCTTCCGGTGAYCGTTGTGGTGCACKTGATGTCTTGTCCGMTCTGTAGACGTTTTCTACTAATTACTTGGGCAATAATAATATTACACATGCACGATCGTTGTGCTTTTGAAGATATTTTATTTTATTGTATATGGGTATATTATAAAATATTCTCTTATATTATAATATGGCTTTGTTCGAACCTTCTCGATAACTGGTTCTCGAGGGAACACGAAACTGGGGAAACATTTCGGATCCCATCAAGTATTATTTCTCTGTCACCTATTATTGTCCAACTACAATATAAATTCGAGACTGTGTTTCGTACGCATATGGCAGTGGCATAGGTCATCGGTATGTATAATGATATTTATTGTGTTCAACGAAGGTTGTGCCTATGCGCTGGCGGCGTCTCTATGTATATTTAATAGATATAATATTCTATAAAAGCGGACTCCGGATGTTCGGGATTTATATGTTTGTGGATAAACCGCACATAAATATAGGTTGGATATTATATATATAT